AAATTTGACTCACCAGAATCTTTTGACTGAATCACTCAGTCTTCCTCAGCTATCTGACCCATGTGGACATGTGATTTTTCCCACGTGTGATGTCAGCAAAGGGTCAAGGGTTGTCTGAAGTCGATATCGCCCCCTGTCCCGGTTGAGCGATGGTTGAAGTGCCCTGATGTATATGGCCTCTCTCAATGCAAGGCCAGTTATTTTTGGCCACTTCTAGGCATAGAGCTAGAGGTACTTAAGTGAGTATAATGTAGTTATGTCAGGAGATGGCGGTGGACCTTTGTTTTGAAGCTTTGTAGATTGTAGTCAAACGGGAAGCAACTGTTTGGAAGAGAGTTCCATGATTTTGCAGTCCGGGGAAAGAAGCTGTTGTTGTAAAATGACTTGGAGACAGGTATGTTAACGGTGTATTGATGAGAAATGAAAGAGAACCTAGTGGCACGCTGAAAGGTTCTGAGCGGCGGAACAAGAAGTGCAGTTCAGTGATGATTTGTCTCTGCAGGGAGGTTTCCTGTCTGCTATTGCCTCCATCGGCCTGCTGGTGTGGCTGGGAGTGACAGAGAACTCACCTAGTAACCAGCTCAAGCGTCTGGGCATCATGACAGGATTCGCCTTCTGTGTCGGTAAGTCAACAAACTTAACATGAAACTACAGACTGAAGTATATGTAACATTTGCAAAGCAAATGCATAATGTTTACCTTCGGACATGGTCTGCTCCGTTAATTCTTACTCAAACACATTCACATACATGTGCTACTAGTATATTATATATGGTGACAGGAGCAGAGCAGACTACAAAATTGCAACATTATGTAACCCAACCTGTCACCATGGTGACAGACGTCAACAAATCATGTCATTGGTCAGGTCATAGGTCACTGTTTGGAGAAGAAGAAGAGGAAGAAACAGAGCAAAAACAATATGTTTTCCTTTGGTAAACATAATCAGAGATTACACACTTCACCCCTTTAGCCATACTGTTTTGCTACCATAATGTTTCCACAGAGAAAACAGCAACACTGAGGATGTAGGGTAGCATTGTTACAGTGTACCGCACACATTGGGAATAATAGAATATTAGAAAACACACAGAGACATAGACACACAAATACACACACTGATGACAGAAAATTCTGGACCAAAGGTGAAACAACAAAAGTTAATTGATGATCTGCACGCATGCATAAAGACAGTGCTGTATGTCAGGACTACTGTTACAGTTTCTGTAATAGTTATTATTGCCTAGAAATTGTCAGTTTTTTTAAACAAAAACAAAACCTACAATACATAGTCTAACAGAAAAACATAAAATGCACCCTGATGTACCCATCTCTAGTCTGATATCTTTACTACTATTGATTTTCTGAATGGCCTCTCCTTGAGAGAGAGGGTTTTTATTTCAAGCAATCTTGAATCCCATTCTTCACAATCACTTTTGTTAGGGGCACTATCAATCAGTCTCTATTGTATCCTTAAAACTGCAATTTAAGAGTAATAGAAGAACCCTTCTCTGTTTATAAGAGTTATCTAGCACAAGGAAAATGGTTTAATGGGGATATATTTCCAACTATAAGGCTTGGTATGGAGCAGAATTGGTAAAATTGCTGTCATTGTTGTAAAATGGAGTAGTTTTAGTGGAGTGTGTATAGCCAAATAAACATGTCTGATTTGCAAGGTTGCCACATATTCTGAACACTATTGCTTGAAATGGTACAAGGGGGAATGTCAGATGTTTTAGGAATATCTTTTCTGAAAAATATTACAAAATCTGTCTTGTTTCATTGTTTTTGTCTTGATTTTCTTTGCCAATGTCTCCTTATTGTCAAACCTTATTTTCTGGCCTTAAGTTATATGCCTTGATGTAGTTTACTGGTGTACAATATACAGGTATACAGTCATGTAATCACATTTTGTGTTACTTTCTACAGGCCTTGGCCTTGGCCCCCTGATGGATACAGTTATTCAGATTGACCCAAGGTATGTGTGTCTTTATAAGGCCACACCAATTCAATTTATTTGTTAACGAATTCGCCCTCCTCATTTTTTTCCGATTTGCAAAAAAAAAAAAATATCAGAATCAACTGCAAAATGCTCGTATTTTGCCCTAAACAGTTGAAAACAATCCTTTTCTTCCTAGTTGTTACAGTTATTCCATCATTCAATGCAGTGGTATCATTAAAAGTTCAAAATTCATTGTTTAAATTTTGAACCAGCCTGGTGTGATGACTTCATGGCTCCTATCGTACCATTTTTGGCCATAAAAGGATGCCTAGGCCTGTTTTTATTTTATTTTTTTTCGCCCGCCCGCTCCATTATTTTTTCTAGAAAAATCCGTTAACCAAGAAATTAAATTGGTGTGGCCTAATAACACATTTCATTACAGGAAGGAGAGGTCTTGACTTGAAGTCCCTGCTCCCGGTTTGTACCAATGAAACTGTTTATAATGTAACAGGACGAAAAGGACGCACGTCTGAACTCGTCAATGGCTTTCTCATCTCCTCTCTCAATCTCAACTCCTTTATTCAAGTACTAACCGGCCGGTTCTAGAGCCCCTTCCCTCGAACGGTACCGGTATAGATCACCTGTTCGAACACGACACTGGCACGTGCGCTGGCACGTGTTCGAACAGGTGGCCGCGGCCCCGCCCAAGGGAGGGGATAGAACCGGCTGCTTACTAATCCTAACAATACACATTGTTACAATAATAATTAACACTTCCTTGTTGGTACAAATGTTCTAAGACTTGTTGACTGGCACTTTTGATCAATTGCTTACGTCACGTATCAGTAAAATCTTGTGTGAATAAGGTCATGTGTTTGTAAACCGTAACTTTCGCGAGATCACGTTGTGAAGTGATTGGTCATTAATTATCCTGATGAAGGCGACAGTGGTCGTCAAAAATTTGATCGCTCTGTAACCCTTGTGTTGGAATAAAGTTCTATGTTTTACTATGATTACTACCAACACAGATGAACTTTCATGATAAAAGTAAGACTTCTCCACTTTAAAAGCACATGATATATCTTGAGTCTCTTGATGACCTTTAAATGGAAATTTTCCCTCACAGTCCAAAATTCACCAGTTTGCCTCCATAAACAAATTCAGATATTCTGTATTAATCATGGGATATAATTTTCCACCCTTCTTACTTATCTGTTCAACAGATAGATGAAATGTATCCCTCTGACAAGAGGTCTGACATTTAAATGGCACCTTTCTCACCACCTCCTGATCTGTACTATGATTGCATCTATCTAAGGCCAAACTGTAGTAATTGAAATCTGTGTGTGGAGAAGTGTGTGTGACAGTTTGATGTGATATCGCTCAACGATGTCCCAAACCTATTTGTCCTGTAATTGTGCACCAGTTGGCTGTTTGACAGCGAGGTGTTTGCAACTGGAGAAGTAGGAAAAGGAAAGGACCAGGTGTGATAGATTGGTTAGAGTGTAGAATAAAGCCTAAGTTTACACAGGACTTGTTACTTCAGAAGGTAGGTTGTGTTGGTAAACAATAATGTCCCATTTATACTGAGTTTTCACATTGTGAATTAGATTTTGTTTGTAATTTACAGAATTGGTACAGATTTTCCCTGTGGCTGCTTTTTTTCCACTACAGGCTGCAACCAATGAGCTACTAAAATTTGCACAGATTTCATAGACAAAGACGAACTTTTCCACATTTCGTGTGTTTTATTGTTTTAAAGTCATACATAAATATTGTACATCATTTTCAATTATTCTATACGAACAACCGTCAGTCGCTCTGTGATCAAGGTCTAATGAAGAGAGTGCCTATAAAGGCAACCCTGTGGCGTCGGGTGGTGTAGTGGTTAGAGCAATCGACTATGAACCGGGGAGACCCAGGTTCGATTCCGAGTTGTACCCGGGACATGTCTGAACATGCGCCCCGACGTTGTGCCCTTGGGAAAGGCACTTTACATGACTTTCCTCACTCCACCCAGGTGTGAATGGATACCTAACTTCGGTTGGGGAAAGTCGTATTGAGGTCACCTTGTGGCGCCGAATGGCAGCTGCACAGACCCTTGCGACAGTTCCACAAAAATTTTACGGAACAAATATGTGTGTCATGTGTATTATCATTTGATTGTTGTGATTTATATTGATTATTATGTGATACCCTGCATCAATTCAGCCGTATAAAGGCTGCGACTGCACGGGTACTGTTTGGACAATAAAAACCATTTACAAAACTGGAGAAGTAGGAAAAGGAAAGGACCAGGTGTGAAAGATTGGTTAGAGTGTAGAATAAAGCCTAAGTTTACACAGGACTTGTTATTTCAGAAGGTAGGTTGTGTTGGTAAACAATAATATTCCATTTATACCGAGTTTTCATATTGTGAATTAAATTTTGTTTGTAATTTACAGATTTTGCCTGTAGCTGTAGGGGCATGAGAGCTTTTTTCCACTACAGACTGCAACCAATGAGCAACTAAAATTTGTACAGATTTCATAGACAAAGACGACATTTTCCACGTTTCGTGTGTTTCATTGTTTTTAAAGTCATACATACATGTAAATAGTGTGCATCGTATTCTAATTATTTTATATGAACATGAATCCTTGGTTGTTAGACAGTCGCTCTGTGATCAAAGTCTGATGAAAAGAGTGCCTACATGTAAGGCAGCCCTGTTGATAATCCTAGACTGAGATGTGTGTTGTTTGTTCCCCAGCATCATTCCCACTGCGTTCATGGCCACCACCGTGGTGTTTGTGAGCTTCAGTCTGAGCGCTCTGTGGGCAGAGAACCGCTACTACCTGTTCCTGGGAGGTAAGGCAACACTCAGTTCACAGTCAACCACTGTGGTGACCTCTCTACTATGGAATCATGACACTGCAAAATATTGTAACTGTAGTAACTGTAGTGTAGGGCCTACCCCAAACAAAGGTAACTATGATACATGACAAAATATATTTGAATTAAACATCAAAATTAAACAATGAAATAATTGATTAATTAAACAAAATCAAGACACAGAAATAATAACTGAAGTGTGTAAACTAGTTTTTACATCTACAAAAAGAAATTAAACGAAAGTCTTATAATTCAGGTCGCTGTTGCAGAAATAAACTGATTAGATAATTGACATAAAAATTTACGATTAAAACAAATGAAAAATCTTACAAAAAGACATACATATACATGTAGTGGGGAAATTGAAGGCAGGAAATGTCATAAACTTTTCTGGGACCTTTGACCTAAATTCCTGTCAGTGTCCTTACATGCCGAGGATGTGGAGATAACTGCAGAAATACAAGCAGACAGACAGATGGACGGACAAACAGACAGACACACCAAAACAAAACCTCTTGCTAAATGGAGGTAAAGCTAGTGAACACCACATATTAACGCTCCACTGGACACTTGTTGCCTGCAGGGATGCTGATGTCAGGGGTTCAGATGCTGCTGTTTGCAGGACTCATCAACCTGTTCTTCAGGTCCTACTTCCTCTTTCAGGTAAGAACAGCTAGCTTACAGCAGGGTAGTTACAAATGTATCTCAATCATTGTTAGCCCTTGTCCTGCTGGCAATTTTTACACAATATTTTCAAATAATTTCATGTCTTAATCAGGTCACAGACCCTTGACTTTTTTTGGCCCGCGGTGGCGTAGTTACTTCCGCATTCGTTGCGTTTCGCTGCGGTGTGATGCGTTGCACGAGAAACACCCCAAAATCGTACATATACAGGGCGCTATAAAGATGGTACTGTATGTGCAACCCATATATATATGGGCCCCGCAGGACAAGGGTTAAATTTTTATCTTAAGTATTTTTTT